TTCTTTGTTGACTCACAGGCAGCCATTTTGTCTCTAAAAAATGGATATAGTATAAATCCAAATGTTCCTAAATGCCATCAATATTTGAACCGATTAAACGAAAATGGGACAGAAGTCGCTTTCCAGTGGATACCAGGCCATTGCGGGCTCCACCGAAATGATGAAGCTGACAAACTGGCCAGAATAGGTTCTGGAATGATCCAACCAGATATTCCTCTGGTCATGGATTCAACAAAAAGAATCATAAAACAGACCCTCCAAAGTTCACTGAAAGAGAAATACGTGCGAACGATTGAAGGGAAACGATGGAGTAGATTGCTCGAAGAAAGATGCAGGATTCCTAGAGACCTCCCTAGAGGGCAAGCCGTGGCATGCTTTAGAATGCTCACAGGCCATGATTTCCTTCAGAAGCACCTCCACCGCATCGGTGTAAAAGATAGCCCGACATGCCCTCTATGTTTCTTAGACATGATGACAGAAGAACATCTTGATACATGCCCTGCATTACAGGACATAAGATGTTCCTTTAATGAAATGGACAGCCCTTATGCTCGGAGAGCAAAACTGTATTGGACTGCAAGAGCACGCATGGCTAATGAAGCAGGCGTTATAGTCTGTGGGCCAGACCCCCTCACCGAGCACCCCCCCCCCCCCCCACATCTCTATAAATTGCATATCGTTGTGTTCCTTGTAACTATTTATTAAAAAAAAAGCCAATGTTCCCACAAAAAAAAGTGAACACACTGCCCCAAAATGTCGTCCAAACATGGCGGATTAGAATAAATAAGGCGGATAAGAAGACCTTAATTGTAGCGTTTTAACTTGAAAATTTTTTTGTTAAAAAAATTGACTTTAGTAGTGTTGTTCATAGCCTAAGCCAATTATTTTTTAATATTTCTTCATGGTTTATTATTCTATGACTATTCAGCTTTAATAAAAGACCAATTATGAGGAAATTAAGCCAAATGCTGATTCTCAGTGACCAAAAAACTAACTAAAGTCAAAGTCGTCAATCCGCCATGCCTGGACGCCATTTTGGGGCAGTGCGTTCACTTTTTTTTGGTGGGAACATTGGCTTTTTTTTAATAAATAGTTACAAGGAACACAACGATATGCAATTTATAGGGATGTGGGGGGGGGTGCACGGTAAGGGGGTCTGGCCCACCGTGTATTACTTAGGCGTAGGAAAAAAAAAATGATTTTCAGCAGAAACAGGCTTGAAGTTACAATCCTTTGCCAGCAGTCTCAGAGCTCGAATGTATTGGTCAACACTCTCACTCTGCTGTTGTTTATGCATAGCCAAAATGTGACGTGCAAATATTTCTCCTGTCTCCTTAACATAGGTCTTTGTCAGAGTTTCTATCGCTTCAACATATGTAGTGGTTTCTGAGATGAGTTCATAAACATTGAACGAAAGAAAATTTTGGAGAGCCTTCAGTTTGTCAGCGTCTTCCAATGCTTCAATGGATAAGGAGATTAAGTTCTCGAAGATTTTCAGCCAATGTGAGAACTCCTTTCCAGCAGATGGCGAATTTGTACTGGCATTGAATTTTTGGGGCTTTCGATACTTGTCCATCGCGAATTAATTTTTTTTCAACACAAATTCAGACCCACGAAATCACAAACCGAAAAACTGCACTCTCATGATTTTATTTTCGACCCGAATGTTCCAATTTGTTACCGGCACGAATTTTCGAATCTCTAAATGATACGACTCGTAACAAATAAAGAATATTGTTTTAAACTAATAAAATTGTGGTGAAAGAAAAACTAATGTCTTACCCTTAGAAAGGTTTTTATTAGCTTAAAAAACATCAACAGAATTTACAGAAGGTAACAAGGTTACAAGTTAGGTTAACATAGTAGTTCAAGCTTCCCCCACAAGAGTGGGATTAAATCACCACACTGACCTATGAAGTCAAGATATCTGCATTGTTTGGGGCTTTACGATGTGAATTGGCGTGCTTCGAGCATATAACGAAAATACTTAAGAGGTAAATTCCTTACACCAAATATGTATCTATGTATGCTGCACAAAAATTAATAGAGATGTTGTTAGTAAGGTATGATTTATTTTTCCTAGAATTTTCGTTATATTTTTACCATAAATTACATTGAAAATTAGTACAAATAAGATTGAATTTGACCTCGGAAAATTTTTTAAAAGGTGTTTTAATAAAATTTAAGTATTATGTGATCTTGGGTCATTCTTATATTAATTGACCATTCAGCATTTCTGAATTTAGCAATTGGCTTAACAAAAATATCAACTTTTTGAAAACTAATCTCGAATATTAGTATAGATATCCTATATAATAATCCTGAGCTTCGGTTGTCAGTTCCTTTTAATATTTGCTTGTTTTTTTAATTTGAAAATGTGACTTTTAAATAAGATTTTGCTCAGAGAAAATGTTAATGCGCAAAGAAAAGGCTGTATGGTGTAAAATGTTTCTTACTGTCATCTTCTAGCTTAAAAATCACGGTGAACGTTATAAATTTCTAAAATGGATGAATATAATCCAGAATAATACGAAATTGCGTAAACTGATTTAAATCTAGTTATACTTTACATTTTTTAGGGAATTTTTCATCGTAACGTTCTTAAAATGTACAATAAATTTATAGAAAACAAACTAAACGAATTTTTTTAGTAAATTTGAAAGATATAATGGCTATGAATATAATTAAGATAATAGTAAACCATAAATATTTTAATTCAACATGACAGAAATTTAAAAAAAAAAAAAAAAACTAAAATAACCTACTGTTTCCTAAATGCTTGTATTAAGGAAACATATATGTTCAATTGTTAGTAGGAGAAATTAAAATAAAGAATATTAAATTTATACAAATAATAGTAAATACTGGAACTAAATGTTGGACAGATATGAAAGCTTAACTGAATAAATGTCCTGAAACTTGTTATTTGGCAATTATCATCCATAATGTTAATTGAACATTAGTTAAATAAAATAATATAATGGTGACATTCGTTATGCATAATTTTTGTGGCATAGTATGTTTTGAAAAAAAAAATCAAAAGTCTTTAGTCACATCTAAATTAAATGTCTCTTTATAATAATAAAATTCTATTTTATGTCTCGAGATTAGTGTTGCCCAAAATAGCTCTTGGTCTTGCACTTTGCAAGACCAAGACCAAGGCCGCCTAACTGTTGCAAGACCAAGACCAGGACTGGTAAAAAAAATCGATTTTTAAAATAAAAATTAAGACAAAATAGTTACTAATACTTGACAATCTTAGTTACTATATGTTAAGAGTTTATCATTAAGGCTTAGTTAGGTTTCTCCTATCTAAAAAATTACTCTAATATCTCTATAGTAATGATATAATAAGTGACTGCAAGACTGTTGCGAGAATCTTGCGCAAGACCAAGACCATGACCAAGACTGAGTTTGTAAGACCAAGACTCGTCTCGGCCTCGCATTTGGGCAACACTACTCGAGATTACACATGGACTGATAGCTGGTACCAATAAACAGAGATGGGCAAATTTTTACACAAATACTGACCTTTTTTAAGTACCAAAGAATTTTATTACTACTTCAGTTGATGTCAAACGATTAACTTAAGTACCTAGTTTTGCCATTAATACTGTTACAGAAGTTTAACTTTGTTTATACTCTTGGGTATTATTTAGATAGTCTCTACTTCTATCAAGTTATTTTCTCGACATGTCAGGATAATAATCCCAATTGTTTGCATTTTTCTTTCGCTGAGTTAACATGGAATGGAGTGATATAGAAAACTGAATAGCTGTCAACGCCTTACGCAAAGTTGGAAAATGTAGGTTAGAGACTTTTAACACTTAGAAACCTTTGGGTATCAGCGGTATGTTCGTTGGTTGACACTTATTATATTTTTGTAATACCGATATTATCTTATAGGCAACCGGAAGGAGCCTCTGTAATTACTACACTCATACATGGAGCCTTTATTTTGGATAGGACAGATCAGGCCCGTATTCCAAGCCTCAGGTAACCTCGAGCTCAATTTATATTGGATCTCAAACAACAACTTGAACAACTCCTGCAAGATGCAACTCCAAAGGATTTCGATAGGCTCCTCAAAAAAACTACCGCCTTAGAGACCTCTCGCTATGAATCAGAACAGCTGTTCTACCTAGCTTTGGAATGGTAAGCCAATTGGATATCAACAATACAGGTAACATCAATCTGTCCTATATTTTAGTTCATAAAATATAAAATACCAAAAATGTATTTTAAAATATATTATTTTAAATACTGCTCAGATCTGGTTTAATTTCTGCAAAGATAAATCCTATACTGGGTTATTTAGAAGTGATTATTGCATTATATGCTTATTAAATTCCTTACGAAGTACTGAATCCAAGACCGTCCATGGGTTATATTACAGTGGTACAGGGTATGAAATAAAATTAAGCAAATTCCCATAACTTAAAACCTTTGACATAGAATGTATTATGATTGTGTGTAATGAACATTTAAAGTAAATAAACAATTGAAGTATTTTTGTATTATTAGATGTGTTGCACAACAACTTTGTTCGAACAGATCATAATGCATATTTGAATCAGCATGTAGACATCATAACAACAGGTGCGGAATAATGTTACAAGGCACCAAATTTGGATTATATAGGTAATTATGATTGATAAAAGAAATCTAGATTGTTTTTTTATGTAGAATTCATTATTTTTGAAAAGTTAAAAACATTTGCCTTGGCCTTGGTCAATATTTGAATTTAAACACTACATCAAATGGCTAACATAAAGTAACCTTATTTTTTATTATATTTTTTAATGTATAACGTATTTTTATATATTTTGGTTTAGATTATGTTTATGACCCTAAAAAACAAATAATTGAAAAAATTATTTTTCTTACAAATATGTATTTCATTCAAATATTTTTACCATTTTAGAAAAGGACTAACCAAAAGATTGAAATATAAACTCTTTTGTTCTTTATGAGGTTATTTTTTTGTTATATTATATCACCTTGTTGGATATACTTGTTATGAAGCTTTTAATGTCAATCTGGGTCGGGCAGGATTTCTGACATGGAGCATCCGCACATTTCAAGCACCTACTAGCTTCTTTTAGCGCTGCTCTCTCACTAAGTGTTGTATGTTTCACATCATCAAAATTGTTTTCCAAATTGCAACTCTGAAACATTTATATGAGCCATGTGAAAATTATTTTCATGTAATTAATTTTGTTGATAAACCTAATTAATACAATAGAATCTATATTATAGACTCTATAATACTTCATGGTTGATCGTTGTGTATTTTTGAGGAAGAAGATGGTCTTGGGGGGGGGGATCATAAAATGACTAAAATAGTGAAAAAATATTTTATTTCAAGCCAACCTTTCGACCCGACTTTGCTTGCAGGTCTTCTTCAGGAGAGTATACAGCAGGGAGTTGCGATTGTAACAGTTTCAAACGTTAGCTTGAAATGAAATAGTTTTTTCACTATTTTAATCTTTTTATTACCGCCGCCACGGACCATCTCCTTTCTCTAAGAGTGTCTATATGTATAGAAACATTCTTATCATCAGCATTTCTTCTTCAGTACATACTAAATACGGTGAATTTTCGGTATTAACAAAATAAATAAACATAAGGATCAAACGCTTAGGAGAGAATGGTATCCTTGGTTTACACTTAAATTTAATGAAGAAATGAAATAATTCGATAAAAATGTAATATATCCATGTTAAAAAAAATATTGTTGGAACATTTTAAAAGAATAAAAAGTAAGTTAGATCAGAGAGCACATTTTATATTGGAAGTGGATACATTAACTTTTGATGCTCATCATATGTATTAGTGATAGAATTTCATTACTCTTAATAAATCAAGGTACAGCGAAATATGTATTACTTGGAAAAAATATTATAATAAAGGTTTTTCTTACAGTGCAATTTTTGTCTTGATTTCTTTTCCAGTTGTACTTATCTTGTTTTGTTAAAGCCGTTGGTTTCAAAGCGGCATATTTGTTGATCCTAGGATTAAGGCTGAGTACATTCTGAAAAAAAAAAATAATAAAAACTATTTTTAGTTTTCAAATGGCAGCTGATGCACAAGGTTGTGTTTTCAACTCGACTCTCATAATTTACTATTTTTTTTAAAAAATAACTGTTTTTCATTTAAAATAGGTCAATGATACACCAGAATAGTTTGTTTTTACAGAGTACAGTTATAAAAAGTTTTATTATTTATATATATTTTTTAGATGATCATCAGGTCAATGGTTAGTAGAGAGTCTAACAAGAGAACTAGGTCGGTAGGCCCGAAAGATCGTTCTTCTCCTGCCAAATAAAAGCCTCGTCAAACACCTCCTATGACTTCTGAAACCCAGCCACGTACATCATCACAAGAGACAATTGAAGAATCTCCTTGTTTTACACTCAACCCCGATCAGGTGATTCATAATGACAGATAGGCAATGGAGTCCGCATCGATACCGAGAGACCCCCGACGACCTCCCCCCGGTATTCGTTGAAAACATAAAACATGTTCACTTACTATGTTGATGCCCCTGATTGAGGCAAATTGTATTATCATTATTCCAATAAAAGTTAATCCCTATTTCAGGGTAAAAAAAAAATATGTTGACATGTTAATTCGTTTAGTTAACAACATATTTTTTACTAAGAGACCTCCTCAACCCCCAACCCCTCCTGATATTGGTTAAGAACATAAAACATTTTCAATTACTAAACAAAACAGTATGCTCTGGAAGCTACTCATGTCTAAGTGGAACAAATGACACCAAAATATCACTGGATACAGCTGAAACATATAGAATAATTGTGAAATATCTAACAGAAACCAAAGCGGATTTTCACACGTATCAATTATGGCAAGAGCGAGATTTAAAAGTAGTTATAAATAGAGGAACCTACACCCCTCAACTCCAACTGAAGCAATAGTACTGAAAACCTTAGGTTTCAAAGTGCGCCAGGTTACAAATGTTCTAAAAGAAAGTAAAGAACAGCCAGGAGTAAAAGTTCCTCCATCCTCATTTTTTATAGACTTGGAAAAGACTCCAGAGATCGAAATTATATACGATATAAGAAGATAATACTACACAAATGTATAAGTAGAAAAACCATATCTTAAGTGAGATATCGTCCAGTGCCAAAATTTCCAGTTGTTGTGTGAACTGCGGTTGACAACACAAATTCGGCGTGTGCACACAAACCTAAACAAGACAATATGTACCGACCATAGAAGAAAAGTGAGTTCAAAAATTATTTAAGGAAAAACAGAGTTGAGATTTGTATTTCGCACGTTGAGAAAACCTCAAGTACGAATTTTTATAGCAATAAAAAAAATTGGAGCATAGGCTCCTCTATTAATATGGGTTTACAATTACCGAAATAATAAGTAGAGAATGATTTCTTCATCTTAGGATACGTTCAATTATTTATATATTTATTATTTTCTTATTTCTTCACCAACATTCTTTCCAAATTATTCGCGCAGTCCAACTAGTATTAATTGATTAGTCGAGTTTCAGTAATTAATTCCACATCAATGTTCTTGTCAAGTAATAAACAAATAGATAATCTGTATGGTTTTTAACAACATTCAAATTCCAGAGGAGAATGAATATAGATTTATTGGAAGTCGTTTAAGGAGGTATAAAAGGCGATACAAGATTGACGAGAAGTGATATCAAAGAAGTAACAAGAGATTTGAATTCAGAGAAGAAAGACGTAATTAAACTGGTGAGATCTGTGGTATTTGATGGAGAAGGAATATGAGGAATTTGGTGTTACGGCAGCGTGTTACATTTAGTAATTTCGTTCTAACCACCTGGTAAGTGTGCAAAAGAAACCGTCGGGCCTACAATTTTGGAATAGTCTATAATCATTTTTTTTTTTTTTTTTAGGACATTTCTTTATTGAGATAATTACAATCTGTCACATTCAAGGACAACAGTAATAATGATAAAAAGTAGCTCATTCATACTATGCACAATAAATAAAAATAATAATAAAAGTAAACGTATATGAACTAAAAGATGCTAAACTAAACAAAAAAAAAAAAAAAACTAATCTAACAAAATAAATACTTAAATACAAACATGCGTCTATACAATATTTACTATATTCATTCACTCAAGATCTTCGAGCCAAGCCTTTCCCCATAATTGTAGAGGGAAAGGCAGGACTCTAGAAGATCCCAGCGTCTTTCACTCAGCCGCATCAATGGTATTACCAATGGAGGCTGAGCAGAGACACTATAACCAGACATGGCTTGAGTGGAGAATCTGGCCATTGCCAGAACTCCAATATTTTCTTACAACAAGTCTCTGAGCCACTGCCGCTTGAACCTTGAACCGAGGAAGATTGTAGGGATGAGTAGTGCTAGAGATAGATTTTGCAATTGGATTTGGATGATTTTATTAAAGGAAAAACGCAGAGCAAGATCAAAGTGGCATAGAACTAGATATCCAACAGATAAAACTCATTACACCCAACTGACTAACAAACTAAAATCAGAAATTAGAAAATACAAAATTCAAAATTTACTAAATTTTATTGAAAAACTTACACCTACCGACAAATCACTGTGGACACTGTGGAAACAGAACTGGATATTCCACTCCAAATGACTCCTCCTCCTAAAGCATTTCATCCTTCAGAAATATCCAATATTATTCACAGATTACCCTCCCGCAAAGCTCCTGGCCATGACCTAATCACTTCCCATATTCTTAAACTACTTCCTCGAAAAGCCATTCTATTCCTTACTTACATTTATAATGCCATACTCCGTTCCACATATTTTCCTGACCCATGAAAACTATCTGAAGTCAAAATGATACATAAAACCAAAAATCCACCAGAATACCCATCATCTTAAAACGCCTGTATCCCATCCTAGATTCTAGCCACATAATCCCTGATCAGCAATTTGGATTCCGCACACCCCATTCCACTATCCAGCAATGTCATCGTGTGGTAGACGTTGTCTCCTCTGCATTGGAGCGCGGAATAGGCGTTTGATCGAGTCTGGTATCCGGGATTACTTTACAAACTCCGTAATTTCCTTCCCCCTACATATTTTCTTATCATCAGTTCCTATCTTACTGATAGACACTTCAAAGTAAATCACAATAATACCTATTCATCCCTCTTTTCTCAATCTGCCGGAGTTCCTCAAGGTAGTATCCTTGGTCCTATCCTTTACACAGTTTATACAGCTGATATCCCAACCCATCCTAACACTGTCATAACTACGTATGCTGATGACACATGTATCCTGTCAGTTAATAATGATCCAACAATTGCATCCCAAACCCTTCAATCACACATCACAAACCTTGAAGAATGGGGTCAAAACTGGAGGTTTAAAATAAATTCCAATAAATCCCATCAAATCACCTTTACCCTTCGTTGTAAACCAAAGACTTGCTGCCCTATAGTATCCTTTAATAACACCCCACTTATCCCTGTAGAACAAATCCGATACCTTGGTTTCCAGCTGGACAAACGTCTAACTTGGAATCCTCATACCAGACTGAAACGACAAGAAACCGCTCGACTTTTCCGACTACTCCAACACTTACTAGACAAACGCTCTAAGCTTCCAGTTAATTACAAAAGACTTATATACATGACTACAATAAAACCTATTTCGACTTACGGAGTTGAGCTTTGGAGCTCCACTAAGCCATCGAATTCCTCTCGTATCCAATCCTTACAATCCAAAATCCTTTGGAAAATCCTCAATGCTCCTTACTTTGTCACAAATAAAATAATCCATAAAGACCTCAATGTTCCATATGTTTCCGATTTGGCCGAATCCAGATACCTATCCTTCCATAATAAACTTCATAACCATCCGAAATAACCACTGACAAAATTTCCTTCGAAGAAAGATTTTCACTTTTAGTTGTATTTCTTCACTTTCACATATTAGCCAATGTATTATTAACTATATGCTTTCTATTTTTTGTTTCTTTAAATACTTTCTTTTTTCTCATTTTCATTAATTGTAATAGCTTTTCTGTATTTTTTATTTGTTTTACTGTTTTTCTACCGAACTCTGAATGTTTCCTTCCACATCCTTCTCATGTCTAGTACCCTAATCACCTGCAATGTTAACTCTCAATCCCTCCCCACCCACTATGACGAATTCCTGCAATATTTCACTCAAAATTTTCACCATATTATAGCTATCTCCGAAACTTGGCTTAAACCTTATATCCCCTCCTCTTCTGTCTCCTTGCCTAATTACAACCTCTTCCGTCATGACCGGGTAAGCCGGACTGGCGGTGGAGTAGCCATATTTGTCCAGAATAGCCTGAAGACCCGAATCCTCGATTTATCCCCATCTTCCAACCACCCACAAATTGAATACCTATTAGTTGAAATCCTTTGTAATACTTCTCCTCTCCTCTACGCTGTGGTATACCGTCCTCCTCTTGTTCCATTTCACAAGTTGAATCTACCCTATTGAATTTCGTTCCCCTCTATCCCAGAATAATCATCTCAGGTGACCTCAATACCAATTTCCTATCTAACTCCAATGATAAATCCTGTCTAGAAGACCTATCCTTCTCCCTTCACCTCTTTATCGTTCCTTATATTATAGACTCTGCACAAAACCTTCTCTCCTCTTCCCAACTGCCAGTATCCTTTTTGTCATCTCATGATCTGATACAAATAATATATAATATCCGAACTCCTCCTATTCAGCCTCGAACTATCACCTTCCGCCATCTAGATTCCCTTAAACGATAACAAATATTACCTGACCTGAAAATCTTAGATTGGAATAAAATATATTTTTGCACTTCTATCGACTCTATGGTTGATATTCTTATTACCAATCTCCTAAATATCCTCAATACCCATGCCTCTCTCAAAACCTCTACATTTCGTCACCGGCTTGCTCCTTGGATGTGTCAGGAAATTAAAGACCTCCAGAAGAGGCGTGACGCTGCTCATAGACGCTTCAGACTAGGCTCATAGACTGCTCATAGACTAGGCTTGCAGATGACTACCAAGC